TCTGATTCCTGTGTGTTCCATCTGGTGAAGTCCACGTGTACAGCCTCCATTTGTGTTGTTGAAAAAAGGTGTTTGCAATGAACAAGTCGTTGGTCTTGCAAAATTCTACCATACGAGTTCAATCATGAAAATTACTAGTTTATTCACCATGAACAATAATACAGATATACCCAGAGAGAAGTGAAGGAAAGAAGGCCCTGGTCCTAGAGTTAGGAAGCCTAGACTTTAGTCATGATCTGTATACTAAACAAGTCTAAAGTTTATTACCTTGGGAGCATATTCTTCATTTTAATTTTTTATTCAACTAATATTGATGAAACTTCACATAGTGGCAAACCCTATACTAAGTACTATAAAATGGGAAGAATTCTACTGCCATAACCTTAAGGGCTCAAATAAGAAATTGATGAAATACTGTGGTAAAGTATAAATTTAACTTGTTACTGTTATTTCAGTAATAAATATGAAAATTATGTCATTTATTACTGAATATGACACTTATATATACTGTTACTTTAATAAGGAGCTCATGAAGAAGGGAAGAATAACTCTGGAAATAAATTAAATGGATTATAACCAGAAGATTCTTAATCATGCCATGACCCACCGAAATCCTATCCCTTCCATTACTCTGTAGCTGTATGGTACAAGTAACGTCTATATCCATAGACTTGGATGGAGCCTGACTTGGCACTTTTATACTCTGCAAAGGAAAGGAGTAGATTTGAAATTCATATATTTTCTAGACCAGATGATAGAGGTAGGGTTATTAATTTCTATTAATAGGAGACCTTCTGCTGACAATTTTTCTATTAGGAATCTGGCAAACTCACCAATCTGACAGATGGGCTGAGAATTCAGAAGTTTGCCAAAAGACTTTATGCAATGGGATTTAGTCAAAAATTATGCCAATTTCCCTGCTTATAAATTAATGATATCCAAATGAAAATGTTCATGTCTTTGGTCATTATATCTCATAAATGGCTTGAAAAAGACTTTTTGTTTTGTTTTTTGTATATTCTTTGTATTTTTTTATTTTTTAGATTTGATTCTCATAAAGGTTTCTGGTGCCAGTTATTAGAAGAAGGTAAAACAAAATGCCTTGGGAAAAGCAAAGGAAGAAAATACCCCCCAATGGACTCTGACGTAAGTATGGAGCTTGAAAACACAAACTCAAAAAGCCAAATAATAAATAATAATACCATAACCAGTTTCTTAGAAAAGTAGTTAAAGTAAAAATTCAGTCTTTCTCAAACTTTTAAGTCTGGATCAGAAGTGACATTTGGATTTCAATACATCTAGGGTGCTTCTTTTAAATTTTTCCAGTGAAACCTGTCATGCAAGCATAAAGGAAAACAATAGAATCTTCATTTTGAATCAGAACAAAGCAGGTAATTTCTCATTCCAAAAAAATAATAATAATACCTTCACAGAAATTTTAGCACCAAAAATGTTAACTAAAACAAGACCTGAAATACGTCAACTAGAGATTGAAAGAGGGTAATAAGATATTTTTAACCACCTAATTCACTCTCTAATAAGTGTGACCTGAGTAATAATATTAATTATTGATATAAAAAACTAAGCTTTGAACTGTTAATATACTGAAAGATGAAAGGATTAATATATTTCCTAAATGTCTAACATACTAGCAGGTAATTTGGATGTTTTGCAGAATGGAGACATGGACACTTTGATGTATGTATCTAGTATCTAGTATTTCATGTTCATTCTGTTTAGAATGGTAACATGGTGATTACTTACTAATTTTTTTCAGTTTGTAGACACTGTATTTTAACTTTAATGTCTATTTCCTATATATTAATATATACTAACTTATATTAGCTTAATTTCATTATTGGTCCAGTTGGTATACAGAACCAAAAACACAAACTCACTGCCATCAAGTCACTCCAACTCATAGCGACCCCTCCTTGGGTTTCTGAGGCGGTATCTCTATGGTAGTAGATTGCCCAGTTGTCTTCCCAGGAGTGGCTGATGACCACTAACCCACCAGCCTTCTGGTTAGTAGTCAAGTGCCTTAGGCACTATGCCACCAGAGCTCCCAAGTTAAGAATGCAAATAGATTAAGATTTGTAAAACAAAAAATAAATAAATAAAACTAGGAAATTAAAATAGAATTTGGGATTTCCTCCCCCACCCCGCAAGTTTAATGTGGAAGCTTTGGTGGCGTAGTGCCTAGGCATTTGACTGCTAATCAGAAGGCTGGTGGTTCACACTCACCAGCCACTCCTCAGAAGGAAGACTGGGGAATCTACTACCATAAAGATACCGCCTCAGTAACCCAAGAAGGGGTCACTATGAGTCAGAGTTAACTCGAGGGCAGTAAGTTTGGTTTGGGTGTATGTTTAATATGTTATGTTAACTGAAAATCCTATAGTGATCTGAACTTACTTGATTATTATCATCCAAGACTTTGAGGACCTTATTTGTGCCCAGCTTAATGAGATTTATACTTAAGAGTGTATCCTGAATAAGCTCATAATTAAATTCTATCTAAAAAGCATTGTGGAGGTTTTTTTCCTGTTGTTTTCATAAATAAATTGCATTCTCAGAACTCTTAGCCTTCTGGGTATAGCTTTCAAAGCACTTCAAAAACAATCCTAACACATTAAAATAAGTTGAGGAGCAATTTCTATAGTATTTTATGAAAGTAATATAAAATATATAATTTTTATTTATGTAATAGCTATATTCCTGTACATTTATGAAAGCTAAAATGTTTAAAATACACTGTATAATATCTTTCTTAGGATTGTATTTTACTGGGATGTAATACCAAATTTGGTGGTAGAGAAAAAAATTAATAAACACAACATTTCAGGATATCAGTTCTATATCTTTCAACAAGATTTTAATGTAATATATACTGGGCTTATTTGTGGGAGCAAAGTAACTGATTTGTGCAAATAGGATCCACAGAAGAAGCAAAATAAAGGAGCCTCTGTAGAGGTAATGCAAACATATAAATGTAGAATGGTTAGTCAGTACTGTCTCCGTGAAGCAGCTCTGGTGGTATAGCACCTAAGACATTTAACTGCTAACCAGAAGGTTGGTGGTTCAAACTCACCAGCCACTCCACAGAAGGAAGATTGACCAATCTACTTCTGTAAAAATTTTCCACCTCAGAAACCCAAAGCGAGTCACTATGAGTTGAAATCAACTCGATGGCAATGAGTTTGTTTGTTTTTCGGGGGGGGTTGGGTGTTCCCCATGATGCGTCCCTGTCCTCCTAGTATAGAAAAATGCCAATATCCCTACTCAGTATTGTTATCAAATCCTAGGAAGCACTTGATTTGGTTAGTCAAGAATACTGTTTGCCTGTCCTCATTCTGACTTTATTTATCAAAATATGTTATGTAATAGGATAAAAGCAGACATGTCTTAACACCAGTAAGTTTATTAGTTCTCCAAATTGAAAGTGAAATATTGATTGTTTCATTTAATAATTGGCCAATAAACAACCTGATGTGGAATCTACTATTGACTCCTTCATATTATCTTGTTTGTTATATTATCAAAGCATTTGTTGTTGTTGTTGTTGTTATTGTTCGGTGCCATCCAGTCAGCTCCAACTCATAGCATACAGAATATGTTTTTGCATACTCAGTGAAACACATATAAACATCTTTCTGGTATTCTTAGCTTGCAGGCAAGATCCATCTGACATAGCAACAGAATGAAACACTGCCAGTTATATGCCATCCTCACAATCCTTGCTATATTTGAGCCTATCATTGCAGCCACTTGCAATGATCATTGCAGTCATTGCAGTCAATCCATCTTGTTGAGGGTCTTCCTCTTTTATGTTGACCCTCTACTTTAACAAAAATTATATTCTTCTCCAGGAATGGTCCCTTCTGACAACATGACCAATGTGGTTGACACAAAGTCTGGCCATTCTCAATTCCGAAGAGCATTCAGCTGTACTTCCAGGACAGATTTGTTTGTTCTTCTGGCAGTACATGATATATTCATTATTCTTGGACAACACAGTAATTCAAAGGCATCAACTCTTCTTCACTCTACCTTATTCATTGTCCAGCTTTCACATGCATCTGACCATAAACCAAACCACACTTACTACCATCGAGTCAGACCCGATTCATAGCAACCCCTCCTTGAATTTCTGAGGCGGTATCACTATGGAAGTAGATTGCCCAACCTTCCTTCTGAGGAGTGGCTGGTGAGATTGAACAGCCAGACTTCTGGTTAGCAGTCACATGCCTTAGGCAAAATACCAGGGCTTAGGTTCGGTGCACCTTAGTCTTCAAAGTGACATCTTTGCTTCTTAACACTTTAAAGAAGTTTTGGCAGCAGAATTTCCCTGTGCAATATGATGTCTGAATTCCTAACCACTGCTTCCATGGGTGTTGATTGTGGATCCAAGTAAAATGAAATCCCTGGCAACTTCAATCTTTTTGCCATTTATCATTATGCTGTTTATTGGTCCAGTTGTGAGGATTTTTGTTTCCTTTATGTTGAGGTGTAATCCATACTGAAAATTGTAGTTTTCAGTCTTCATCAGTAAGTGCTTCAAGTCATCTTCACTTACTGATGAAGCAAAGCAAAGTTGTGTTATATGCATATCACATGTTGTTAATCAGTCTTCCTCTAATCCTGATGCTGTGTTCTTCTTCATGTGGTCCACCTTCTCAGATTATTTACTCAGCATACAGAATGAGTAAGTATAATGAAAGGCTATAACCCTGATGCACACATTCCTGATTTTAAACCATGCAATATCCTCTTGTTCTGTTTGAACAACAGCCTTTTGGTCTATGTACAGGTTCCTCATAGGCACAGTTAAGTGCTCTGGAATTCCCATTCTTTGCAGTGTTATCCATAATTCATTATAACCCACATGTTGTTGTTGTTGTTATGTGCTGTGGAGTTGGACC